AAATAATAAATAAATTTTTTTTTTCTTCTTAAATGTTAATAATGCTTTCTATTTGTTGCAGATAAATTGATTAATGCCTTTTATAGTTAGTTACTTATAGCCTTAGTTTTTGTTAGTCGTGTAACTGTGTTTGTAACCAACTTGCTTCTGATGAAAAATTTTTGATTATATTTACGCATTTTGAAAAGAAAAGTTTTTCTCTTTGCCACAAAGAGAAAGTTTAATATAAATGATTTCAAGAAAACTATCAATAGTTTATACTGGAAAAGACAAGCGTGCGGGCAGCAAACGAAGGAAATCAAATTGAAAAAGTTCATTTTACAACTGAAATAAGTTATTTCGTTTTAGGTTAGATAAAATATTTTAGTCTCTTTTTTTTGCAAAATTTCACAAAAATTCGCCTTTAGAATGTTGTTTTCAAGCATTCAAACATTTTTTTTCGAACCACAAAAATGCATTCCCAAAACGGCATAGAACATTATAGTCGGCCAAGGTCGATCGTTACATGCCTTATACCACTTATACCACATTATTTTCATGCAAAAGCAATAGTAGTAGTCACGAACGACGGCATATTGGAGGGTGCTCAAAATCATCACGTGACGTGATCTAAATTTAACAAACATAATTTATTTTTCACAAATAATTTTTCACTTTTCCGCCATAGAAAATTAGAAGTGAGGGTTTCTCTAGAAAATAGACTATCTGATCCACATTGCCTACCGTAAAATGTTATAGTTATTTTGCTACTCTGGGCAAATTTTCATCGTAAAATATTCAAAACTTTATTCTCTACTACTCGGCCTACTACTCAGAGGAAATCTTATATAGAGTGGAGACCTATATAGCTCACATTTGGTCCACTTAATTTTTATGTCCAATTACTGTCATTAACAAATTTTCATCCTAAAATGTTAAAAATTAGCATACAAAAGTTTACCTTTCCTGAGAATCCTTATATGCGGTGGCATCCAAAAAATAGACCTACTCTACCCAAATTCTGTGAGGTTGATTTCTTTGCCAATTATTAGCTATTAACCAATTTTCACCATGAAACTTTGGTAATTAAATCTTTTTACCCCAATGTGTAAGGTAAAGCCGCAACATCCTGTGTCGTAAGAACGCGAATTTAAAATTCGACAAAAGCGATGTAGAATTCATGCAGTACTAGTATTTATAATTTAGTTTCACTTATATAAAAGACACATTCAGACACCTTTTTTTCGTTACGATTGACATAATTGCTCTCATCCGTTAACCAAAAACTTGACAGAATTTGAACAGCTATAAAGCAATTGCGGTAATGTTATGTAGAATTAATTCACACAATCAGTCATCAATCAATTGTGAACAGAAATCTATATTCTATATATTCTTTAGATCATACTGCAACATATTTGTGTTGCGAATTTTATTTAGAATGCAAAATATCACTATTATCGCGAGAACATAATTAAGTACAATTTAATGGTAAGGATGTGTCGTAGAACTCATTTTATTGTCATTTCAAATCTATTTCACAAGAGATTCAATCGTGCACATGTCCGGACAACTGAGTTTGCTGTACTACCAATTAACAGTCGTGTTCTGAGTAAAATCATAGCGGCGTGACAAGTCACAAACGGTTTTATTATTTATGGTCTTCGTGACTTCACATCCTTACTTTATTGTGGACTATTGCTTCCAAATACTAACTGATCAAAGCTATAGAGCGAACAGATATTGTTTTCTTTTATGACTAGTAATCGCTCTCAACGCCAGAATATGATTATTGGTCTACGTACTTCTTTAGGGAATATAATATGTTTACCTTTACGTGATCTCTGTCTGCTACGAATTCACATTAAATCATGGATAATATGTCTCTACTATCTTCCATGCCTTTTGCGATTTTTCATTTTGCTAGCTACGATAAGTCTGTTTATTGGCGTCATGTTAGAAAGGATGTTGAAGGCATTAGAAGAAAATATGAAGGACAGAGGCACTGAGAACAAAGCGAAAAGCTCCTGGTATTGAATTACCAGGAAACAAAGAATATTTCGGCAAAGTAAATAATCAAAAAGTAATCTTTTTCTCCGAAAGAAATTGGGTAGCTAAGGCTGCTACGCACATATCCATTGGTGTATTATTTTCCCTTTTATGTGCAGTTAAAATTCTAAAGCAATTAATCTAGTTTTGCTTGATTGTATCATAAGCATTTTGTGAATGTGGCCTCGAAATTATGAAAACTCTAGATAAGTTCCGACGCACAAAGTCTTACACCCTCTTAAGTGAAAATAAGGTAATAGTTCTGCAAGTCACACACATTTGTGTTATTAATAATCTAATTGAGTTTGCTTTAAAAAGCGAGTTTGTGGTGTTTGGAAATTTCAAAACAACCCATGGTTTGAATAGAGAAGCCTCGACGCAAAGTGCACTTGTCAATATCTAGTATATAGAATCTAGGACGATTTAGAATTAAACTTTACTTCCCGAAGACAAAGGAGAAAAACTCAACTAGAACGCAGTATAGAAATTATTATCCATTATAGGCGAAATTTATTTCATCCTAGCACTGGTTAATGATTATACCTTACTCCACTTTCGGTATAAGGCTATATTAAGTTTGTGTGGATGTATGCAACACCCACAAGGACTTGAGGTAAACCCACTTTTTCAAGTTTGTATGTCCATCCGGCCCTCTGTCCGTCGTGTTTTCTTGTGTTCGTCCCTCAGGTCGCACTTTTTAAAATATTTTGACGAAATTTGGTTTTGGAAAAAGGTTCGAATCGAACAGATCCCCTATAAAGTCTTATTTTGAAATAGCGTCATACTGTATTAACTGAAGTGGTGCAGTGTATTTAATGGTTTGCTGTAGCCCACTAAAGTCTGTTTACTTGTTTTACAATCAAATGCGTTTTCCCAAGAGATGGTTTAAACTTAAAATATATAAACTTGGCATTGTGCGCTTAAGAACCTGCCTTAATATAATTCAATTTTCGAAATGTGGAATTCAAACACATATGGTTTCGAGATGACTTAAGAGAAAATTCAAAATCCGAAAATAGCCCAAAAACCCAATTAACATACACATGTTAGTAAGTAACCCTAAAAGAAAAGACATTCTAATAAAGCAAGCAACAAAAAAGTGCATCGAAAAAGGAAAACGACCTTTAGACAAACATGTTTGTACTTTATGGAAAGAGCAGATGTTGAAAACAATTCATGTATATTTAGTTAAAATAAAGGGAAATAACGGGAAGGAGAAGAATTTTTTCCAAAGAGCGTTTAGGTAAGAGTTTGGCGTTTTGCTCGGTTACTAAAACCGAGCCTGCTACAACTTAGTTTGCTGAGTAAATCAATTAAAATGATTATGGTTTTAAAAACATATCACGTTCGCAGACGACACTCATGCTTACACACACACACACACACACACACACAAAGAATAAATTTCGTTTATATGGTTTTTATTTCGGCTGCACAAACAAAAAATCATCAGCAAGTTTAGGGTGTGTACACGTATATTATAATAATAAGTATGGTATCGTCTCTCTGGCTCCCTTATGTTATGTTTAGTGTCTGTACGCATATTATGCGCATATTTACATAACTGTTGGTTCAGCATAAATCCGGAAACCTATACACATGTCGTTTTGAATGCTCTATAAATAACATAAGCCCGTGTAAATAATATTTAAAATTTCCAGCTTATAAAGTTTAAGAGCTCATATATATATATATATATATATATATATGTGTATGGTTTTATAGATATGTATGAAAAAAAAAAAAAAAAAAAACAAAACATTTTTTTATGTTGCACTTGCGAGCACTTTTTTCAAAAAGTATTTTCACTTAATTGATGGGAAATATTTGTAATAAATTTTATTTCAAATTTTTTTTTTTTTTTTGTTTTTTGATTCCGAAACATAAAAGCATTTTTAAGATTTATAACTTATATGAATGCCTGGCTTTAGTCAAGTGAACGGCTGACATATTAGGGGAAGGTGTTTGTTTTGATGGCGTTGGCCTTTCATTTCAAGTTTTTTTTGTAGTGAGATTTAAGTGCTTATAATGAGAATAAATGCACATATATAAGTCTTCAATCTATCAATAATTATTAATCATAATTTATGCACAGTCGCTTAACTTGAAAAGCCCAAAGAGTAATTAATGATTAAGAACATTACTTGAAACTTGATATTTAAAGAGTTCTTTGCTTTAATCTTTAAGTCTAATTTATTTCAACAATACATATTTCAAAGTGGGTCTTTTCGATATTGAATATGTATCGGATAGGAGGAATGCCTTCTAGCACATCAATAAGTGTTCAATCTGATACATATATGGCAGCACTGTTGCCAAACCCATATGATTTTTGAATAGTAGCAACTTTCAAACTATACGTCTCACAACATCAACGCATTCTGATAATTAGTTTACAGATTAAAGTTGTTTTAGACACTTTAGTTTTATGAAAAAAAACGGGATTTTGTGAGTTGATTAAACGATTCTTGTTGATAAGAAAAAACATCGTTCACAGTCAGATCAGAGAGTGGTTTGCTAATTCTAAACATAATCGCATGGACGCCGATAATGCTGAATGCTCTGATCGCCTGACTTCGAAAGTTGTTCCATTACACGTTAGGAAAGTACACGAAATCGTGTTGAAGACTCAAAGGCGAAGTTGAATGTGGTAACTGACATCCTAAAGATGTCCACCATTTTGCATGAACATTTGTCCACGAGAAAGCTCTGTTCGGAATGCGTGCCGCATTTTGCTCATCTTTGACGACAACACGATCATGTTTGGCGCTGTTTAAGCGAAATAAAAAGGATTTTCTCACATGTTATGTGACAATGGATATATCTGCAAAGGCAAATTTGCAATTAGCCGAGAGGACACAACTGGCAAAAGAAATTGAAAACGGCAAGCAACATTAACGAAACGATTTTAATTTTTAAACTAATGATCGGGATGTCATTAAATTTTGACGCGTTTAGATCAAATCCTGATAGCCAGAAATCAGCGGAGACTTATTGAGTCTATGTATTATCTAACATTAGCTTGCAGACAACTTAAACCTTGTTTTATACTTAATGATGATTGGCGCGCAAAATATAATATGAAAATAAAGCCACGAAAACAGAAGAAGATTAGTCATGATGACGCTGTTCTAATTTATCAAACATACAAAATAAATTGTTGCAGCAGGAGACCAACCTAGACGACTACATTCGAAACGATTACGATAATGATGCTATGGATTTAATACATTAGTTCGCTAAACTTTGCGCTGCTCCGGTATTCTTGCTTGTTTTTAAAGCAACTTTTTTAATGATGAAATTTTTGTATTTATTTTACGATATTTTGTTTGCCTTTGAAATTAGAAATGCATTGACAGTGCGCTGATAATTGCAAATTTGTGCTATTTTCATGATATCACCTTAAAAAAATGTGGCGAAAATAAAAAAGAGGAGACTGTAAAGTTATTAAAAAAATTTTAATTATAATGATCAGATAATTTGTTATTAATATACAATAAGCAAAAAGTACCCTTTTCCCATATTCGTCATACAGGGTTGCACAGTAAAAACATATTACAAAAAGCCTTTCCTTTTTTTACTTTGATTCTATATCGACTCTCACCGCTTTAACAGTGGTTGGAGCAAAAATTGATGTAATAGCAGAATCACTTCAGAGCTGCGCATCGTGTATATGTCGATCTTTAAGGGATAATATTCATACCTACGAACGAAAAGTCGGAATACATTACCTTTATGAATTCGGTCTTATTCATGTAATATATGTATAATCTAATTTGACATAGATATTAATTCTACCGAACTAAGTTTACTAAATTTGAACTATGCCAGTCCACGTTTCAGACCCTCTTTCATATAAACGCTGCTATGAAAAATTACCATTAGTTAAGAATTGAATACAATTTTTGGTATTCTATTAAGAAAATAGGTGAAGAATTCTATTAGGCGAAGTAGTGTAGAATATTGAATAGTCAGCGTTACCTGATCGAAAGTTGTTACTTGTTTTTAGGCCAAAAAATCCAAGCCTAAAACCCAAATGTCACTTACACTTAATAACTTGATAATCCCTTAAGCAATGAGCTCTGCTCATAACAGAATCTCCTTTAAACAAAGAACTTAACTGTTAGCTAAAATGACAAGCTGTACACTTGATGAATACAACATACATATATATATGTAATATGCATATAGAAGTATAGACAAGTTTGTAGGTTTCCCTTTATTTGCTTACGCAAATGGAAATCGATACAGTTGCTTTTTATGACTTAAATACAGCCGTCGAATTTTATTGATAAATTTTTGAAAAAATTCCGGAACTACCCAAGCGGAAATAACTAAAATTCTTTACATAAAAATAATAATAGGAAGTTTACGATGAAGTGATCGATCGTATCTTTGCTAGATTTAATTATATGCGTTTTGCTTATTTGTAAATGCTTTGACGATTAAAAGTCTAATTCAAGTGTAATGTAAATTCATTCAGTTCCTCTAGTAGCGTTTAAACTATTAATTGGTGGAGAATAATTGCGTAATTTATTCGCTTGCTTACCACGAAAACTTGCACGTCCGACATGTTGGCTCTGACACAGACTATTATTATTGAGAAATATATACCGCGAGTCTGCTGGTTAGTTATCGTTTAAAATGTACTTGAAGGTGTATATAACTTTCTTGCTTCTTTCAGTCAAAAAAAAAAAAAAAATTTTTATTAATAGAACAAATAACGGTTAATGCCAAATCGTTAAAATAAACACTAAATGAAACATTAAATTAAGCGGCGTTCAATTCTTGAATTTTTCGCTGTTTCCATAGCACACACAACGACTATTATACTAGCTGATAGACTGACTGATAACGAACTAACATATACTTATGTTTTTGTATACAACAGGGAAGATTTCTTTCTAATATAAGGCTCGGATCAGTGTAAGAATACGAATCAATTAAACGAAAATAGAGAGAAAAAGATATTCACAAACTGTATGTAAATGAAACAGTTAAAGTAAAACATAAACGTCTTTCAGTTCTCAGTAGATTTGATAATTCATATCTATTCTCTTTCATCAAATCATATTCTATTCTCTTTCTTCTGTGTTTCTACCCTTCATCATCCTTGTTACTCAACGTATTAGGCATCCTTGCCAAGATATTGTTGTCCTTGTCCTTGTCGTCTGTTATTGGAAGTTTCGAGTTTCAAGTCCGCTAAAATTAACAGAGAAGGCCTAAACTTGCCTTGCCTTGTATACGGCCATATTGGTGAGCAAAGAGCCAGTTTAATAATAGTCACCATTCGCCCACGAGTACGTTCGCAAAAACCATTGCTTACAGTCAACAGCGAATTTTAATCCACACCTTCAAACAAATTCTTACCAGAGCCGGTATCAGATCAGCCTAAAGCAAGTGAAAAAAATCGTAAAAGTCGTAAAAGCATTTCCCCTTCCAAAGCAAATATAACTTTTATTCATTGTGGAACTATACGAGACAATAGATCTTCTCTTTCTCTTGTCTTGTGTAGCAAATAAAATGCAAAATTTTCCAGATAATGGTGAAAAGAAGTAATGACAAAATGAAAAATTAAAATTTAAAAAAGCGACAAAAAAAAAAAAAAATGAAAGAAAGAAATTGCTTTTGTAGTTGATTATATGCAGAAAGAAGTCGCATTATAATATCCTTTTGCACTCCTTAAGTAAACGATAACTCAAAACGTCAGTCATTGCAGACAAATAAGCAAGCAGTCAGCCATCCATTGTATTGTGTAATGATTATGCCGACTGGCAATTACGGCTTTAGTCAATTCATAAATTGTAGTAAAAATGAAACTAAATCAGCAGGCGGCGGCATTTTCATTCTAGAAAAAGATGTGGCGACAGTGTTTACATGATAACAGCAGCTGCTGCATATTTTCTGCACTGCATAAAATGATTATTACAAACGCACGCTTCCAATGAATAAGAAAAAAAAAAGAAAAAAAAAACTTCATTAAATACGTAACGAGTTTGCGGCACCTAAATAGTATGTTTCTTTTTTTTTTTTTTTTTTTGTTTTTTATACCTGGCACTGCACATATGCTGCTCTATTATTAAAATGTTGTTTTATCTCTAGAGTAACTAGCTTCTCTCACCTCACTTTATCTCACTTCACACTCCTATTCAATATAGTTATTTAACGAATAAACAATTCTATTAACATAAACTAGATATCTATGCAGAATAAATGCAAAATGTGCTGATAATTTAAAACTTTACCTTAACTACTTCTATTCCTTATTAGTCAGTTATTGTTAAAAAAAAAAAAAAATTTTTTTTACTCCTCTAGTCATTACAACTTATGATCAGGTGTAAAAGTTTCTGTATCGTAAACAAGTTAGTCTTTTTTTTTGTTATATATTTTTTTTTTTTAATTGTCATTTTAAAGTTTTATTTGCTGACCGTAAAGTAAAGTTGTAGAAAGAACAGCTGTTTACATTGTTTACAACTAGCAGCAGGTGATACTTTATTGAAAACTTGAATAATGATATGATATTTTTAATATACAACAATCGAACGACTAAATGGGAAACTGTTCGTGTGGTCTTTTTTTCAGCACTTATGTATAGTTTTCTTGGAACATTCAAAAATATGTTCCAAAGTCTTAATATGGGTTGAAACATCGGATTTCAGGTTTTTGCTCCGTCAAAATACCAATTTGCAAGCATTCACTAAAAGCAATTTCCAAAAGAAACATTATAGTTTTTTTAAATCATTTCAAAGTTACTTTCATACTATGTTTACCGATGTGAAATGTGATCCAAAACATTTTCAGTAACGTTCGTCCGCCAGCCAAGACACATTAGCGTGCCAACTTTTATCAAAATATCTTAAAAATTTCGACTTGTTGGTTGCAGACGGACAGACAGACAGACAGATAATCTTAGATTGATTCAGAAAGTGATTGTTTGTAATGAAATGGTCCGCGTAATAAAAAATGACTCTATCTCAAATCTTTGTGGGTGTTACATACACCCGTACAAAGTTAATATACCAAAAGTTATATATGTAGGGTGTCATAAATAATCGTAAATTTGGTCTTAGTTATGATCCTTTTCACAAACTGTGTATTACCATATCCCTGTCAGAAAGAGATCCCGTTAAGCAGGAAGGACAGAATCCAGGACAACATTTTGGGAAATTACGCAAATTTCAGAACATTTCAGAACAGTAACATCTATGTGGTATTTGATAATTTCGTTACGAACTGACCTAAAGTTTATGCAATTTTTCCATTGATAAATACATTTTTTCTTATCGTTTGAAGGTCTTCTTTTTCGATATATTTCGAAATCAAACAATTACTTATATATATAGCATGTTTTTATTTATTTTACGTTTGTTGTTAAAGTTAAAATTGAAATGAAACGTTTTAGCAGTGATTACTTAAACAGATTAAGCCTGCACGCTAATATTTTAGCTATAAACTTGTGAGATGACAGTTATGAAGTGAGAAGACAGAAAAAATACCGCCTCCACTATATATAAATAAACACATTGCATATTTTTAATGAATACTCAATACTTGAAGTTGAACATTAAACAAATATATATTTGTCAAATCCGATGGAGTGTGCTATATGTATATATATATATATATATATAGTTTTCGTTGTTAATTCATTTCATAATTCAATAGATTGCAAATAAAGAAGTTTGCAAAATATATGTATGTAGAAATTTATTCATTTGTTAGATAGTATGCTACCGTACCTGAATTGTTAGTCGCAATCCTTTACCTAAACGGGCTCTCATTCGGCTAAAAATATCTTCTTCTGCTTCTGAATGTACCAGTGCATGTACAAATATATATACATACGTATACGTATAGCTCGTTTGGATAATGAATGAATTTCATAAGTGACGGAGGATCACATCCTGATATGATTCGTTATACAAACACATGATACGTTTAGGGTTAAAATGGGCGAAATCGACATAAGAACTTAACAGTTCTTTATTACGAAACGCGTTATGAAAAAGTTACTTCTTGTTTTCGTCCTAGCACACCACTCTTCATATCGGTTGTTTTGCCATTGTTGGTGTATTAGCATTCTATGCCTGATTAGAGTTTGGTTTACGCCCGAGGCATCGGAATTAACTTCTTCAGTCTCCTTTATTTTTGTTTTTTTTTCTTTCTTTTTTTCTTATGTCTCTTTAATTGGTCTTTCAGTAATAAATCCCGCGAGATACATATGAACATATATATGTGCTTAAATGTGACATAAGGTATACATTTATATGTAATATGTATTACATACACTAGTAGCGAATTTAAAAAATAAAGTCCAACTTCTTTTTATGATTTTAAGAATGTTTTCCGTAATAATCTCTAGTCTAACTCGTTTGGAAGACGACACATAATGTTGATAAGCGAGATGATAATTCATTTAAAGAATGTACGTTGATTCCCCAGGCAATTTAATTTGATCGCATATGTTAACATACGACCATACGACTAAACGCTTCGCGCAAGCTCAAAATATTCCACAATTATTTTTTGCAGCCCATAACTTCTTTGTAGTCCAGCGGCTTTGTAGATATTTTGTTAATGATCATTGGTATTAAAAGTAGTCTTTTTAGCAAAGATCTTTATTAATTGATTTAATTGACCAGCTGACTTAAATTCCGCTCAGCTATCTGCGAACGTTAGAAGAAAGTAGTCATTTAAACAAAAAAAAAAAAAAAAAAACAAAACAAAACAAAACAAAAAAACAAAAACTGGTTTTTCTTCATAGGAAGAGTGCGTTAAGCAATTGTAGCTTTTAGTTTAACTTGAACTGCTTCGTTTTTCAAAATAATAATCATATAAATGCTAATCATGTTTCAAATCAATTTGCTTACAACATTGTTACTAGATTTCTTTTTTAGGCACACGAATAATCTATGTAGCTAGCTTGTAACCTATTGTAAACCAACAAAACGTGTAAATGTGCTTACAACAAACAATTACAAATTGAAAAGAAGACGTCGTTTTTTTTTTTTTTTTTTTTTTTGGGTAAAGCGTATAATAAAAAAATATTTTTTGAGGTCGATTATTTTATTTGAGGATCCCCTTTTTTATGTAAGAATACAAGCACTTTAGCCTTAAGCGTGTAGCAAACAAACACATAAATGAGGATCTTTCCAAATAATGATGGGAACAACTTCATTTTGATCATGTAATTTCTTGTAAGATGGTAACCCGGTAACGATGAAGGTGACGTTGGTAAAGCAATGAACTCGTTTTCTGCATATTTTTCGATACACGCGTGCCAATACGTCCCATTACCTAAATGCATTGTATGAGATTAAGAACCAAGATTACATAAAACACAAAATGAACTCAGTAACATTTTTTTGGAAATCTTTAGAGGAAAATAATGTAATATATATTATGTTTGCTTTTCTGTCAATACTTTAGCTAATATCGATGTATTCGCGGTAGTAAGTGATTTCACCTTTTAATATCTGAATCGAACTCTTTTAGAGAGCCTTCTTTCAAGTCCTTTCGTCATGTCACCAAAGAATCGCGTTTTTCATGGATGCTTTCAATTGTATACAATTGGCGCATATAACTATAGTAGCCGCTAAAGTGAAAATTAAATTATGTTTTACGAATTTCTTGCTTTGCGTGAACTTATATCAAAAAATTCTACCGCGGGAAAAAGCCTTAGACATCAAGAAATTGTTGAATTGACCCAAAACGTATATAACTTAAAAACAGTAAAAACACGATACTGGCCCACAGCCCATCATTAAGAATCCCCACCACCTCTCACAATACTACGGTTCGTATAATGACTTTTAAAAATATCCCACTATTCGATCGGAATTATTTTCAAGAACGTTCGTATTTGGGCCAAAACAAGTCAATGTATCGGTTTTCGTCAAAATATCTCCAAAATGCCGGCCTATAGGTTGAACAAAGAAAAACAAGTAAGACGGACGGATAGACAAGCTTACATCGGACTTTACGTGTTAGAGGTGTAGGGTATAAACACGTAGCATAGGCGCTCTCTGATGCGTATTATGCACACTTTGAAGCGAGATAACGAATAGAATGACTGCTTTTCCTAGTATTCAATATCAAAATTTATTCGTTACTTTAATGATATGCAAAAAATAAATATATTTAGCTGAATAAATAAATGTAGTGAATTAATTTGAAAATCAAAAGAAGAAAGGAAAATTTATTCCAAACTTTTAACACTAAATAGTTATTCTTTTCACAGAAATAATACTTAATGCTACATCCAAGCCTTTTCGCTGACAAAGCAACACATTCACAAAGTTGTTACTGCCATCCTCAATTTATTCATCAGATTTGTAAGATTACCCTAAAGAAAGTCAGGGGTGGTGGTGGTGGTGGTGCTTGCAGTCAGATAAAAACTAACATGCATGCTACCACCGGCGATTTACTTTTCCCGTTACTTTCCTTTTATGTACAAATATATAGTTTTATGCGATAATATATAGTTTTGAGTTAGAAATTAATACACATTTAAAAAGTAATGGAATCGTTTCAAGCTACTTACAAAGTACTTTCGAAGGATTTGATTTCAATTTAATTTCACGGAGTAAATCAGAGTTTTCGATATAATTAATACTTTTGCTTCTCAGTCATATCAAGTTAAAACTCATATAGCAAATAATACAAAATTATTCATAAATGGTTCAATAACTTAAGCAAGTTGCTAAACGAAACGGTTCCTATATGCAGGTATAACAAGAGAGGAAAAAATAAAGGCCATAGTAGAACGCATAGGAGATTTGAGATATTAATGAATGATTAATGCCTAACAAGTAAGAAAATGAGAAAAGAGAAAAACTGACCTCATTCTTCAGCACCTGAAGTTGTTAGATAAGGGCAGTTGACGGTCTCATGGTTTGTGGTGGAGCAAGGTGATCATTCAAGCGATCTTCAGTTCTTTCTAAGCATGTGATTTATACTAGCGTGACTATGTGTACTCGCCTATGGTTTTATAGAGTGGCTAATAAATTTAAATAAATGAAATAGATATTTGACTTTGGCCGAAACTTCTAAGTCTCGTAACTGTATCTTAAAAAAAAGCTACAAAAAAATTAAATAACCGAAATTTCGACACTTTGTACTGTTAAGCGGACCTTTTCCATTTGTTATTCAAATGCTTGCAAGTTTTTATCGCTATGTCTGTTATAGCTTATGAGTGATAAGGGAAAAAAGTCATTTTTATTTGCTTCGCTTTTAAAGACGTAGATGTTTTCATTCTTTCACTTTTGGCCAATTCGGTTTGTTTTCTAGACCAATACGCGTTTAATTATGATCTTCCGATTTCTTTGCCATAATTTGAATTTGAAAACTTTATTTTTGCGAGCAGAAGAAAGTTTGTCACAGACATGACTCAGACAACAAACCGACAAGCCTAAATTCACTCAGAATTTGAATATATATATATATATATATATATGTATATATATATATGTATACTTAGTGTTTGAATATTTTTTGCGAGTGTTGCTAAGGTTTTGGCAAAATGAATATGCCCCCATCTTTCGGTGTAAGGTACAAAAGCGCACACAATAACAGCCATTGTGTGCGTTATTCCCAACAACCACGTGGAAAGAAGGAAATTTAGGCGAAAAATGTAACGTTATCGTTGCTTCTTAAGTATTACTATTGTTATTATTATAATTATTATTACTGCAATTGTTACTAGTTTCTTTATTATCCCTTTCTTTTAAAAAGCAAAAGAGCTTTTTTTTATTACTTACTTAATTTACAATCTGTCCAAAAAGATAGTAAGTAAATATTTACACAAACATATTTTACATACTTATCGTTAGGGATATTGTTACCATTGAAAAGAACGACAGACAAGAACCCTTATGTAACATAAACGTAATTTGCGGTGATTTTTTAGCATTCATTACATAATTTGCCTTTGTTCAGTTCAAGCGAAATTTTGTTGAAATGGATTTGTAATTCGCAGAAAACATTTATTGGATCACTAGATAGTAATGGGGTTCCTGTATGATCAGCACATATATCGTAGTATTATCAGTGATCTGAACATCCGAAATGAAAATTGGACAGAGTATTTTGACTTAGAGCACTTGCCTGTGGCACTCGAGCTTTAATTTTAGACATTCTAACGATTATTGCTTTGTACCTTTCGAAAAAATTGTTTGGTTTCTGTTCCAGGCGTTATTCTGCCTTGCCTTCAATAGTAGCCCTTTGAGCCCAGCCCAAATGTTCCCGTCTGTTACTTATCTCAACTAAATAATCACTCAGTTAGCATAAAAGTAATTAATGCCCTAATGACGGTT